AGAATTCCCAAATTCTCCCATCCATTCTTTTTGGCGCCCAACGCGGGGCTGTGAGTGAGAAAAGACATTAGAAGTAGAAAAAATATAGCGTGACTACGTAGCAGGCATAGTACATCTAACCTCAATATGGCAGATTTGAGGAAGTTAAAGGCCATACGTGCTCAAATCAAAGGTCAGGTAACAAGATTAAACAATTTTTTGGTGGCTAATCGAGACATAACCGGAGAGCAAGCGCAAGCACGTCTGGATAAGTTACACGAGTTATGGTTAGCATTTGATGAAAATCAGACACAAATTGAGGTGATGAAAGCAGAAAATGAAGAAAAATTGGAAGAAATAGCACAACAAGAAGCCGGAGAAAGAGAAGTGTTCGAACAGGTATATTACAGAGCAATGGATGAAGCACGCTCGATTATAGCAGCAGCTCAACCGGCGACACGAACAGCGGCTCAAATGCTAGAAACTGGATCACAAGGTAACGCCGATATAAAATTGCCTACATTGAAACTGCCTACATTTGCAGGAGAATATGATCGGTGGATGCTGTTCAAGGACGCGTTTCAATCGCTGATTCATGGCAATCGTAAGCTCACAGATGTGCAAAAATTTCAGTACTTGCGAAGTACGTTAAAAGATGAAGCGTTAGAGGTTATAAGCGGCTTAAATACCTCAGCAGAAAATTATATTGTGGCTTGGAACCTGCTGAAGGATCAGTACGAGAACAAGAAGCTGATAATAAATAGTCATTTGAGCAAGTTGTTAGAATTTCCTACAGTAGCAAAGGATAAATATGTAGCCTTAAAGCAGTTTGTTATGCATATTCGCATGCATTTAAAAGCATTACAAGTTTTAGGACAGCCCACGGACCAATGGGATGCCATCATCATATTTCTGGCTAGAGGAAAGCTAGATTATCAATCCCAGCGTGCATGGGAAGAGGAGATTAGGCAGCAAGAATTGGATCACATGCCCACAATAGAAGAATTTCTAAAATTCCTCAGCGAAAGAAGTCGCACTTTGGAAATGTTAGACAGCAATATAGGTCGGCGCGAGGCAACCCCCAAGAATAATGCAGTTAAGAAGACGGATAAGCGAATAGCCTTGACAACGACATCGTTGACGTGTCCAATGTGTGAGGACTCTCACAGTCTATTCAATTGCGCAAGTTTTTTAAAATTGTCACCACAGGATAGATTTGTAGCCGTAAAGGAAAAACAATTATGCATCAATTGCCTAAAGGCTGGTCACTATGCACGAGAATGTAAGTCATCAAAATGTCGCAAATGTTCAAAGTTCCATAATACGTTACTACACAAAGAATTCGAAGAATCAACAAAAAAAGCATCTCAAGATTCGTCTTCTGGAAAAGAAGAAAGCAAAGAGCAAGCGGTGGTTATGCACTGTGTTCAAAAAGCAGAATATGAATTAAAAAATCAAACAGAATTGGAATATTCACACAAGGACTCCATTTCACACGTTATCTTGGCCACGGCGCAGGTATACATTCGTGATAGACAAGGTCGAAGGCAAACATGCCGTGCATTATTAGATCCTGGATCGCAATCTCATTTCATCACAGAAGAGTTAGTAAAAAGGTTGCAATTACCATGCAAATCTGAATCAGCAGCGATTAATGGCATAATGCGTAATATTACAAACATAGAAAGTTCAGTTAAAATACAGATTGAATCTCAGAATACAGCGTTCAAAGCGGATTTAGACTGTTTGGTTATCCCGGCTATAACGGAGCAGTTACCGCAAGTTAGGTTGAACAAGAGACTATTTGGCATACCAGAGGATCACAAGTTAGCAGATCCGGCATTCGATAAACCAGGCCCAGTGGATGTTTTGATAGGAGCGGGCCTTTTCTGGAAGCTTTTATGTATTGGACAAATAAGAAAAGCAAGAGGACATCCCACTTGGCAGAAGACTCAGCTTGGATGGATTGTGGGAGGAGAGCTCATCGAAGCAAAAGGTGCAGATAAGGCGAGATCAGTCAATTTGTTAGTGACAAACCAGACTCTGAGCGAGCATCTGGAGAGATTTTGGACGCAAAAGGAAGTTCATGAGACTAGACAGCTTAATGCACAAGAAATTCATTGTCAGGATTATTTCAGCAAGACAACAAGGCGGGATGCCACTGGAAGATTTATAGTGCGTTTACCAAGAAATGAAGATGTTACACTTGGTGAATCAAAACAGCAAGCGGAAAGAAGATTTCGTGCATTGGAAAGGCGTTTTAGAAGACAGCCATCGATGAAGAAGGACTACGTCCAGTTTATGAGAGATTACAAGGAGCAAGGTCACATGAGCTTGGTGTCACCAGATGCAATAGAGGGAAAAGAGCAGTGCTTCATTCCCCATCAGCCGGTGTTAAGGCCGGATAGCATTACAACAAAGATTCGAGTTGTATTTGATGCCTCAGCTAAGACAAATAATGACAAGGCACTAAATGATTTGCTTCTGGCTGGACCTAATCTGCAAGTAGACTTGCTGCACATACTGCTGAGGTTTCGTACATATGAATATGTCATCAATGGCGACATTGCTATGATGTTTAGACAGATATTGGTAGCGGAAGAAGACCGCAGTTTACAATTAGTTTTGTGGAGAGAAAATGAGGAAGATTTACTGGAAACCTTCTCACTGAATACTGTTACGTACGGAACTACGTGCGCCCCTTATTTGGCTATGCGCTGTTTAAAGCAACTGGCAATAGAAGAGGGTGATCAATTCCCACTAGCTCAGAAGGAGCTGCTCACAAATTTCTACATGGACGACGTTCTAACTGGAAGGGATGATCTTGAAGAAGCAATCCAATTACAAAGGCAGCTTACGGCTCTATTAGCAAAGA